AAAGGTTTCTTGGTAGCCTTAATTACATAGCAGATTATTATGAAAATCTAGCTAAAGATACAACAATATTACATGCTAGGCTTAAAAAGAATCATGACCCTTGGACTGAAAAACATTCTCAAGCAGTCCAAAGAATTAAAAATAAGGTGAAATGTTTGCCTTGTTTATCTCTCGCTAATCCTAAGTATTTCAAAATTGTTGAAACTGATGCTTCAGACTTAGGCTATGGAGGAATCCTTAAACAAATAATACCTGAAACCTCAAAAGAAGTTTTGGTTAGATTTGCTTCTGGAAAATGGAATCCAACACAAGCAAAATATTCAACTATCAAGAAAGAGATGCTTTCTATTATAAAATGCATTTCAAAATTTCAAGATGATCTTCTTAATAAAACAAATTTTATTAAAAATTGATTGTAGCTCAGCTAAATCAATTATTGAAAAAGATGTTAAAAATCTTGTTGCTAAGCAAATTTTTTCTAGTTGGCAATCACAATTATCTATGTTTGAATTTGATATTCAACACATTAAAGGTGAAAATAATTCACTTGCTGATTATTTAACTCGTGAATTTTTGCAGGGAAAAAATGCTGACCCCATATAGGGGTAGAGGCCGCGGTTATGACCGTGGTGGGAGAGGGAGTAACAATATGTTACCCCATCTAGAATCAATCATTCCTCTAATAGGGGATCGGACTACTGTCTACAAAGGTAGAAAAATGTAGCAATTACCTGCATCTTCAGTAAAAAGGGAAGATATTGCTTCCTCTTCCTCTAATAAAACTACATCCTACAAGGAAGTTGCGGTTAATAACCCACCTCAAGAACAAATGGATTATTTTTAAAATCCAGTAACTGAGAAAATCATGTATATTGATGATGAAGATATAAAGATAAATCCAAATGATGGATGGTCTATCAAAACTAGATACCTCGAATCAAGAGGATATCCAGGTCTTCATGGAAAATCTAGGCCCAACCTAGAAATTCTCCTGACTGTTACCGAATCGGTAACAATTACTCACCATTACCAAAACAATAATCCTGAAAGTTTTATAAACTTCAGTAAATGTCACATTAACAAAATTTTGTTACCAAGAGAATGGGGTCTCAACCCAAATGCTGAAAAGGCAATAAGAATTGCGGAAGGAAAGTATATTTACTTTAATTATTGGGACTATGTCCAGGATTTCACTCAAGCCCTTTATTACCAAAATCCCAAGAACAAGCATTCTTGGTTTTTCTCTATTAATGAAGAGATGGTTAATAAACCCATACCAAATTGGTTTTATGAATAGTGGGCTAAATTTGGTCCATCTTTGAAAATTCTTCCTAAAGAAATTCTTAACTTATATAATCCATGGTGTGATAACAGTCCACTTATTGTAAAAATTTTATCTGATAATTTAATCACTGGACAATGTCCATTATTGTTCTTTATTAAATTTCAGATTCCATGGATATGGAGATGGACAATCACCATATCAAGAAACAAATTTAACATTCCCATTTTAGAAAGAAATTTCTTTTATAAATGGTAGAACAAGATGAGTTCAGAGGATGTCCAGAATAAAATTAAATTAATTGAAGAAGCAATAGCTGAAGACCAGAATAAAAAGGTCAAGGAACAAAGCTCCCAACAAATGTCTATGGAAAACTTGAAGAACTTCTTCAAGAGAAAATATCCCAATGAATCAGAAGACGAAATTATGGTCAGAATTTTGGATCATATGAAGAACCAATTCTTCTCTACTTTTCCATCAAAAGTATCAAAAGATGAGGATTCATCTATGAAGACAAGCTCTTCCATTGGATCAATGGATTCCCATAATTTTGAAGGTTTAGCAGGAGAAGGTCAAGCAGATGAAGCTACTGCAGAAGATTTCTGGGATGCAATGACTCAATCTTTGAAAGAAAAAAGAAAAGTAAAGAATTAATTTGTTATCTTGTCTAAATATAATGAAGTAAGAATCAATAGACAAAGGTTAAAGGACAAGAAATAATAGAAGAAGAATCTTTCCAAAAGCAAAAGGACAAAGGAATCTTATCTTGTCTTTAATAATTTCTAGGCATAATTGCATGCATTTTCTATCTTTTGTAAAAGACAAGGGAATAAGAATCTTATCTTATCTTGTCTTTAATAATTTCTAGGCATAATTACATGCATTTTCTATCTTTTGTAAAAGACAAGGGAAAAAGAATCTTATCTTGTCTTTAATAATTTTTAGGCATGCATTTGATTTTTGTAGTTTCTTGTTAAATGTTGTGACGATGGGGCCCCAAGTGTACCCGACAATAATTATACAAGTTACCGGCTATTGTAAGTTTTAGTTACCGGCTTAAATAGTAAGCCTTTTCTTCCCTATATAAAGGGATTTAAGTTTCATTTGTAATTACACCTTGGAACACCTTTGAATAACAAGTTTGAACTTTCTTGCAATATTGTCTCACAATCTTCTATACTCCTCTTTTCTTTACTAAAAATCTGATTCTGCTTCCGCTAAATACACATTTTGGTATCAGAGCCTAGACTTGCCAAATCTAAGGTATATTTCTTAATTTATCATGAAAATTAGTGGCTAAATTTATGTTGTGAGAGGTTGATTATGCTTAGACAAAACTAAGTAGGTAACTTTTTCTCATAACATATTATTAACTAGCAAACAACCTTTTCAAAGTGTTTTTAAAAACTAAAAAGTGTTTTTAGTGTTTTCTTAAAAATTCATCTTTTTTTTTTTCGGGAAAGGGAGTTGTTGATGATTTCAAAAAAGAAAATTTTTGCTAAAAACATTTTGACATCTTTGATTTGGGAGAAATCCTTCTATCCCTTCGGGTTGATAATTAAACAATTTGTTGTTTGCTTAGATGACTTTTAGTTGGTTGTTGTTTTAGCTAAAATTATGTTATGAGTCCAAGTTATCTATTTAGATTTAACTTTGCGTATCAACCAATCACAACATTCTTAGCCTATTGCCCTATGGATTCTGATGATGATAATCATCAAAATAATTTAATAAAAAATGAAGAATTAATTGAATATCCAAAAAATATGGACAAACTCAACAGATGGGTTATACCCTCAGTTCCTTCTAATCAAATTTATAGATTTGGTAAGATAGATGTTTTTGCTCGTTTTGCTATTAAAACTTTAGAGCAAACGATTCAAATTTCTAAAGAAACTCAAAGAATAAAACTGTTAACTAAAAAAGATTTGAAACCTTTTAAAAATTATAATTTTATCCATATTGGATTGGTTCAATTTGCTTTAAAACCTTTAACATTATTGGGTTTTAATTCTAGCATAATGGCTTATGTTAGAGATGGTAGATGTAAAGATTTCAAACAATCTTTAGTTGCTATGGTTGAGACAAGTCTGTGTCATGGACCAGTTTACTTTGATGTCTCACCTAATTTAAATCTATCTTTATCTGATAAAAATTTATTAGATGCTATGCAATTAACAGTTCATACTAATGGTTATAATTTTAAACCGGGAAGTGAAATTATAGCAATATGCTATCGAATCTACTATAAGGTTCTTACTATACTTAATCCTAAAGCAAAGCATTTATCATTTTCTGGAACCACTACTTTGGTTCAAACAAATTTACTAACATCCAATGTTGCAACCAATAGGTTAATAAAGTGGGATGAAATAAACTTCCTAGAGACATGGTCTCTCCCCCAGGAAATAGATCCTGAACCTGTCCTTAATAGGGATATAGACCAAATTATTCAGACTACTGAAGGAGATTTAGAAATAAATTTCACTTCAAAAAGAATAACTAGAATACCCAGGTCCCTATCTGCTAGGCACTCAGTTAGTGAATTTTACACAGCTCCTAGCCAATTACCTAGACCTTCTACTTCTCAAATAAGAGAAGAAATAGAGGTCGTTGAGAATATAAGACTAAGCGAAAATAGAGTTCCCCATGGAATTTATCAAAAACCTCATACTCCAAGAGTAGAATCACCTACTCAGTCAGATATGGATTTCCAATTATAATGATAGATTACTCCCCTGGTACTAGGATGAGACAACTCATCAATGATGAGTTTCAACATGAGAGATACTCTCAATTTAGAAATTGGTTTTTTAAAAAATTTTCAAAACCTGAATTAGCCCAATTTAAAGATGAGTATTACACTCAAATGAACCTTGAGCAGGATTTCGTTCCTTTTGTTAAATGGTTTGTTAATTACTTCATAAATAAAAAGCAAGAAGAAATTCTTGTGTTACAAAGACCTTGGGAAAACATTAGAGGAGAAATAATGGAATCTCCTATTCCCCCTGAACAAACAATAAGTTTGAGTCAAAATACTGAAGCTACCCCTTACCTTAGCCTTTAGTTACAAAGAGTTGAATAAAATCAAGTTACTCTTAAGGAATTAAATTCAGTTATCAGGTCTCAAAATTATACCAATGCTTACCTTGTTTGCTTAGGAGAACAATTTATCTCCATGGAAAAAGATCTCTTATCCATAAAAGATCTTTTAGAAAAACAAATAGAGCGTCAAGATATCATTATTGACCATATAAATAAACCTAAAGACCAAATATCTACATCCACTATTTCGGATGTTCCTATAGTGCAACCTCCTGTTTCCATAGAAGGATTTAAAATAGAAACTAACGGAGAAGAATTTGTTCGTATTTTAGAACAAAAACTAAAAGGACTTAATATCACTGTCATGTCCCATGAAGATTATTCTGAGGATAATAATGACAACCATATTGACCAGCTTGCTGATATGTTTGCTAATTTAGACATTAGTAACCTTGATATTAATACTAATAGTATTAATAATACTAATAGTATAAATCCTGTTTATTCCCCAAGGCCTATAGAAAAGTATTATTACAAGCGTCCCTCACCGCAAGATTTGCTTTTTGAGGAATCAGAACCTTTCCAGAATTCTTATTCTTGAAAAGCCATTTATGAATGGAATGTTGATGGTCTTAATGACAAACAAATTATAGATACTATCCATAGGATGATCATGTACTCTAGTGTTTGCAAGCAACATGGAAATTCTGATGCTTCAATAGCATCCTTTATAACAACAGGATTTGTTGGCCAACTTAGAGGCTGGTGGGATCATTATCTCACTGAATCTCAAAAATTAGAGATTCTTAATCATAAAAAAATCGTTAAGAGCGAACCAAGAACTAGTACGAGCACTATTGTGGCTACATCCACCTTAGGAGAAGAAGATGCAGTGTATACACTGTGTCTCTCCATCTTACAACATTTTGTAGGAACCAATGTCCCCATTGGAGAAAAAATCCAGACACTTCTCCAAAACCTTAGGTGTCCTTCTCTCACCCACTTTAGATGGTATAAGGATACTTTTCTTTCAAGAGTTTATCAATTAAACAATCCCAATTCTTTACACTGGAAAGCAAAATTTATTGATGGATTACCTCATTTCTTTTCTGAGAAAGTTGGACAATCCTCAAGACAGAAAAATGATGGGATAAATATAAATTATTCAGATCTTACTTTTGGTCATATAATTAGCACTTATGTTAATGAAGGATTAACTTTATGTAATGACAAAAAGCTTAGAAATCAACTCAAAAAGCAAAAGCTCTCTGAAAAACACCAAATTGGTGAATTTTGTGAGCAATTTGCTTTTGATCTTGGAAAATCTCCAGATAATAAAAAGAAAAAAGGAAACATTTTCCGCAATAAACCTTATAGGGATAAGCCAAAAAGTTCTTATAAAAATTCTTATAAGAATAAGAAAAGGGGTCACTACAATAAGAGTATACCTAAAGAAAAATCCTTTGACCCTAAAGGTAAAAGAAAAGCCAAAAAGCTTGACATAACATGTCATAAATGTGGAAAACCTGGCCATTATGCCAACCAATGTTGGACTAAAAAAGCTCTTAATGAGATAGAAGATGAACAATTACGTTCTCAATTAGAGAAAGTTTTACTTCTCAAATCTGATTCTGAAGAATACTCTTCTGAAGAAGATATTAATATAATTTATGAATCTTCTTCTGATTACTCATCTGAATCTTATAACAATAATGATTGTCAATGCAATCAATTAGATTAGTGGAAATCAATAGTGGATATGAATGGGTTAAATGTTTTAACCTCAGAACAGGATGGAGCTATAAAGGCTATAGAGTCCATTTATGATAAAAATCTTAAAAGAAAAATACTTGAGGTTCTAATCCAAGAAAACTCTAAAAGAGAATCTCCTATTATTACAGAAGCACCTTACCAATTAAGTGAGGTTTTGTCTAGATTTAGGCAGTCTAACATTCGTGAAACTCCTGTTTCTATTATGGATTTAAATAGAGAAATAAATCTCTTAAAAAATGAGATAGCTCAAATTAAAAAAGAAAACTATGGTTTATCTCAAAGGCTCACTTTTTTAGAGTCCAATAATTCAAGGGTTGAAGAAATAGCTTCAACTAGTAATCCTTCACCTAGTGATGATTTCCTTTCCCTCATTGATAGAGTGACCTCCCAAAAATGGTTTGTTAGAATAACTTTAGTGATTAATAGAAATTTCATATTAGAAAATGAAGTTGCCCTTATTGATAGTGGCGCTGATTTAAACTGCCTTCAAGAGGGAATTATTCCCACTAAGTATTTTGATAAAACTACTCAATCTCTTACACAAGCTGGAGGAGATAAACTCACGGTTAATTATAAACTGTCTAATGCTTATGTTTGTAACAAAGATATTTGTTTACCTTTATTCTTGTGAAAAACTTAACTCATAGAATTATATTAGGAACTCCCTTTCTGCATAAAATTATGCCTCTAATTAATGTTGATCAAAAGGGAATTACCTCCATTATTAATAATAAAAGAAATACTTTTGAATTTCACTACGCCAAAATTGGTTTTTTGTATCGCCTACTTTAATAGCGCTTTTTAAATAAGCGCTATTCAAAAGGAAACAAACATATTTATAATAGTGCTTTATAGTAAAGCGCTATTAAAGAGTACAGAGAATATGATTTTGATAGCACTTTGTAAAAAAACGCTATTATAGATATTCACTAAGATAGCGCTTTTCTAAAAAGCGCTATTAAAATGTTGTATTACAATAGCACTTTTATAAAAGCGCTATTATTAAAAGCACTACGATAGCACTTTTTAAAAATCGCTATTAAAATATGTAACTACAATAGCGCTTTCTATGGAACCGCTATCGTTTCTATAATTGTGTTTTAAGATAGCGCTTTTTTAAAAAGCGCTATTAAAATATTCCACTAAATTAAATTAATTAAAATATGAAAACCTTTCCTGGCCCAAATGTTTTTCGTTTTGGCGCAAAATTCTTTCACCCACGCAAAAAAGCACATCTTCACCGCTTCTTCATCGATTCACCGCTTCTTCATCGATTCACAGCCATCGATTCACAGCCATCTTCTTCACTTCACTGGAATAAAAAGACGAACCCTAAGACAGCTCACCACCGTCATCCTTCTCCGTCGATCTCAGCTGCCGTCATCAGCTCACCACCGTCATCCTTCTCCGTCGAAAGGAGCCGCCGTCATCAGCTCACCACCGTCACCCTTCTCTTCATTGATATCCGGTAATCTTTCTTTTCTCAGATTATTGCTTTGTGTTAAATTGTAAAATTAGGGATTTGAATGCTTTGTGTTGTAAATTGTAAAATTAGGGATTTGAATTTGATTTTCATTTTCTTGAAGAACTGTTGGCATTTCATGAAATATGATATTTTAGCTTTTATGAGGGATTTTCATAGTTTTTCTCACTTACCCAAGGCTGTAACGTCTTCTTTTTTAACTCACATCCCTAAGGTTTCAAACCCTTTAAGCTTAGGTGATTATAGGCCGATTTGTTTGGTGGGGAGCCTTTATAAAATTGTTGCAAAATTACTGGAAGCAAGATTGAAAAGAGTGATTGGTAGTTTTGTTTCTCAATGTCAATCTACTTTCGTCCCCAGAAGACAACTGTTGGATGGTGTTGTTGTTGCTAACGAAGTTATAGATAAGGCTACTAGAGATAACATTACTGTTCCAACTCCCTTCACAAGTGCCTCCCCCTTGCTTATGACATACTGTTTATCCATGTTCTATGTGAAGGATTTTACTGCTAAACCCTCCCCAACAAAAGCATATACTGTTTTTATTTGTGATATGGTCTGTCATAATATCAGTATTAGAGTTTGTTATAATCAGCTATGTGACAATAGATTGGACTAAAAGTATCACTGATATTGAACACTTGGATTGTGTATATGTATAAAATGCACAATTTGTCATGATGTAAATCATAGTATTGCACCATGCATGGATCGATGTCGTATACCTATTCTATCATAGACGTGGCTTCAGAATGGTAAAACAATTTCGTAGTCGAGATTCTGTTCATTTTCTTAGTGTAACTTGCTCCAATTATGAGAATAAGAGGGACAACCACTAAACACAGAAGTGCTACTTCCCAACAGGATATTGCGGCGATCACAATCCCGGCAAAGAAAGTTGCGCAGCTAGAGGTAAAGTGACCCAACTGTGATCAAGAAATTCACTTGCTTGGTTCAGTCATAAAAACAAAGATTAAACTTGTTACAATTATTTATTTGCTTACCTTTTCACCAATTGCATCTTGTATAACACTCATGTTCTTGCTTATTCCAGTGATGACTTTTCCACTTGTTAATTCTGTATCAAAAGCTCCTATCTCTTGGCTTAGAACTGCTTTTAGATATGCTAATCTTAGGCATGATAACTGTCTTTCACTTGCATACATCCAACAACCAATCTCTGCATAAATTTTCATCTGGTGAATTGTAGAATTGATAATTGATAGTTTCTATGAACTTATTTCTATGAATTTTTTAGCAATGCTGTATGAACTTATTTGTTAGCAATGCTGTATGAACTTATTTATACATATTTTTTTATCAATAGTTTCTATGAATTACTACTTTTGTTAGCAAACAGGAATTTATCCTTAATTCATAATAAATAAAGGAGCTGTAGGTTTTAGTTAGTGGCTACAATGAAATGATAAAAGTTTAATGATATAATTGACACAATTTCTTTCATTATATTTGTGAGTTCTATCAGAGACAGGAAACAAACATAGATTGTTTAGAAGAGTTCATGCACAGGCATGAAATATAATCTAATGTTGCTAGACTCAGCATGTAAAACATTCCTCTCATTACACAAGTCTCATATATCATGGATTTTTCTTTTATCAAGTGAACTTTTATATTATGTGGTTAAAACTTAAGAAAAGGGGAAAAATGATGGTAGGAGATAATACTCACAGGTCGGAGCAGCTTCCAAGTCTCTGTAAATGATATAATTAAGCCATCGTCCCTCCAATTTAGATGAATTTATTTTGCTACACTCAGACTGCAAATAATAGTTAGAATATGTATAAAGAGTAAGTTATGTGTAACTTACGATTAAAAATGAATTTCTTTTTTCCGGCAGCTTAGTAACTAAAAATGAAGTAAATGTTTGGTGAAAATAAACCCCACATCAATTTATGAATAAGTTTTGAAAAGGTATATAACTAACTGAAACAAACAAATAATAGTAACATAAGTAGATTGTAATAAAGCTGAAAAGGTATCTTGTACTAATTGGTTTTGCTTTGTCTGAATTTGTTGTTACAGTGCTCGATGCATTGTGCTTCATTCGCATTGTTTCTTTAAATTGTTTCAGACACTTAACATCAGAGTCTTCACCTCTTTTTATCAACCAATTGCTTGTGAGAATACAAACTGTGATGAAGATCTTCCTCAATCCTAAGCTGTGAAGTGCCTTCAATACAAGGTAAATGATCAATTTAATCCTAAGCTGTATAATTGGAACTGCTGGAGTAAAGTCCGGGTAGGAGGTAGTTGTTGATGTAGTCATTATTCACCGTCACGACAATTGCTATAGGAAAACAACGAATCCAACTGACGAGAATCAATTCCTAGCCAAATCTATAGCAATTGTCGTGACGGTGAAAAGTTGAGTTGGATGACAATATTCACAGGTGCACAAATGCTTTCAATGTACAGTAAAGACTTTAAGTTTCTGCTTAATTAGTAAGTGTTTTAAAAATCTTTGGGAAGATTAAAAGTACCAAGTAGATGAGGGGAAACAACACGTTGCCCAAGAGATGAATTTCCTTGAAATTTTTTGAAATCATGATTGACCAAAAGTCATGTCCCTTGTTCTGTCGTTGCTTCAGCTTATAGGCATTAAAATGATTATATGATTTTATAGAAGACTGATATTTTCTAGTATAAACTATCCCCTCATTATTATGCTATAGATTTAGAAACTTAAAAACATGCCTTTTCAAACTCTGAAGAGTTGAAACAGGTATTTTAGATATACTTTAAGATAATTATTAAGAGTGCAATGAGCAACCCCGTTTAAAAAAATTGGCTTAATATAACCTAGATCTACATATGTCCTAACTTTTGGCTTATTTATTCTCAAATTAAATAAAGATGTGATATCAAATTAAATAAAGATGTGATGTAAACACAGCAGTATCCAAACACAGTTTCTTCATATTCTGTGAGTAAATGTATGTTTTTCATATTCTGTCTTTAAGTTTTCAAGAATGTTGCAAGAAGGAAAAACCACTTTGACACAGTTTCTTCATTTAATTTGCTAAGCAATATCAAAACACAACAGTGACAGATGAAGTACACATGATTGTATGGTTCTTCGGTTTTTTGCCTCTCTAATTTCATGAGCCTTGTTTGTTTTTACAGTTCATTTTCATTCGTCCAATTTATCAATTTATGATGGGTATGTTACAGGTTGTGGTTTACGAATCGGTATCGAATTGTTGTTGTTTCCACTATTTTGCAACTTGCACACTAAGTGTTCGGTAAATTGCCTCAACCAAGTTTCTTTTCCTTTTTCGTTTCTGTTTCTTGCTAATCATGTGTTCAATAAATTACTAAGAATTTATATGCCTTTCAAATGAATTTACTATAATGCCATCCGCATTCTTGAGGCCTTCCGCATTCTTGAATCAGAATCAGAATCAGAACACACTTTCTTTCCTCTATTGAACTTAGCCATCATTGAACTAAGGGTGAAAAAC